GTTATGAAGCACTCAGAAGGAAACTGTTCATGGCTTTACTGATCACTGTCCTCACCGGGGTAAACACAGCTATCAGGGGAACAGGTATTACCTCACATTCCAGCTCCTGAAAAAGCTGTCTTCAGTTCCTCTACCTGAATACATTTTGTTGAAGGACTACGATACTTTAAATTGAACTATACTGTCCCACACTGGCTGGCTCTGCAGCAATCTGTTTCTTGCCAGAGTAATGCATCTGGCACTTCCTGGTATTAGAAGCATTTAACTCTTCTGCAAGGCTCCTATTTATTGGGTAACTTTTGGTTTTGAGTACTCTCAGATGTTCTTGTAACTGAGCATATGATACATGAAATACTAACAGTATTAGTATAAATCTATTTTTCTTGTAGCCCTCGTTCCAGGGTTGAGACTGTGTAATACTGTTAACGCAAACGGCACCATTTGGAATTCTCCATTATCCCCTCCTCCAAACCAGTAAGCATTTCATTTCGTCATACCAAGAACATCACTCTTGCTCTGAAAAATAACAAAAAAAAAAAAATCCACCCAAAATGTATTCCTCACAAAATGCCAGAAATCCCACACATTCTGCATCATCTGACAGTAAATAACCCTCCCAGTGTTTGCAGACTCCTGCTCTGCATTGAGTCTTTCACGCTCTTTCCATTTCAGGTGAGGTGTCTGCAGAAGGCCCTCTCCTTCAAACCAGGTTTGTTCAACATCAAATACATCAAATTACCCTGAAGAGGTATAGAACACTTAACACCCCCAACTGTTTACCCAACATAAAAATTTATGTAACCTGACTCCATATCCTACTTCTGTATTTTTATTTGCTTGCTCCAGTGGATTTGTCTGACTTAGAAGAAATGAGCTAACGAGGTAAACATGGACTTGAAGATTATGCCAGTAAGGTTTGGACTTTGAAAGCACTTCCCATATCTGCTTATCTTTCACTGTGAAACATTCCCCAAAGGAACAAGCATAAATACAGAAACTACTTCATCTTAAAACACTCTTCGAAATTTAACAGCAAATGTCTAGGTCTAAAATAAAATTTGCTTTTACATATTCAGCCTCTTTAAAAAACTTTCTTGTAGCCTATTTGTTACTGTTACTCACATTAGTTACCCTGTAATGAATATTAAGTAAGTCCCACAGGAAATTCTGGGCATGGGATTCAAGTAAGATTTCCTGCCTGTTAATCCCTAGGGGAGTGACACCTTCCTGATGTTGTCTGCTAGAGAGAACCTACTTGTCTGAAAAGAAATTGTACAGGGTAAGAGTGGTAGTCAGTGTTTATCATAATAATAGATTTATTTGTTTAGTCTAGTAATAGATTTGGTAGAGACAAGAGAGAACTGGGGGGGGGGGGGGAAGCCACCCAGGTATACTCCCCATCTCCAGTAATACCAGACATGGTAAAAAAAAACCAAACAAACCAACCACAAAACAAAAAAAAAAAAGAACACCAAAACAAACAAACAAACCAACCAGAAAAACACCCCCAAAAAAAACCACCACAATAAAAACAAAAAAAATCCAAAACAACTAAAACAAAACCGAACAGAAGAATAACCCAAACAAAAAAAACATCACCACAATAAAAAAAAACCTCCAGAACAACAAAAACAAAACCCAAAACAAAAACAAACAAAAAAAAAACCACAAAAAACACAGAACCCACATTATATATTATATTATATTATCTGAAGGAAAGGCTTCTAAAGGCATTATGAGAATTATACCACATTCCACACTACGAATGTGAGAATTTAAAAAGATTATAATGCATGGTCTTCTTATTTAAGTATTTGAAAGGAATGACAAGCATGGATACACAGTTAACTTTCTAAAAATATAAACAGTAAAAAACAAACCTGTATTTTAATTTTTATAACATGTGCATGTGGGTTGCACAAGAGTTAGTACTGTACACTCCCAAAATTGGTGAAAGACAATTTTGACAATTGCTTGTGAACATTTCTATGAGAAAACTAAGGCTTTCCCATATTTCACACAATACTTCTTACTCTGAAACACAGAGCCATCTGAAAACTTCACAACTTCACAATAACATTTACCCAAAAGGAAACTCAGAAACTTTCCATAAGCCACCATTTCCTATGACAGACAAATTCCTAAGAGGAAAGATCACCCTCATCCATTATGTTAAACTCAGTAGAGCTTATATTTTAAAGCTTAACAGGGAAAATAAATGTCTTTCACATTTTAATGCTCTACCATCACTTCTGAGATACTCATTCTGAACACTAATAGTCACTCTGGTAATAAATCTTTCAAAACAGCCTGGATTATTACAATATAGCACAATACATTTCACTCTCCATCTCTAGTTATATTGGTAACTATGAAGCCAAAACAGCTCCGAAAGAACATAGACTTGCCTCTTGATACATTGATCATGCTAAAAAAAAATCCAACCTAAATATTGAGACACTGTATACCACACAAAGATCGCAACTAATTTTTTTATATGACAGTACTTCAAATTCTGGCAGCATTCTGAGAGTTGAAATGCTCTTAATTTTAATAATTACCTTTAACAATTAAAGGTAAGAAACTTGGTACAGTAAGAGAAAGACATTTCTACTGTAGCCCCAAAGTCTATCACAGAACATAAAGAATTTGACAAAAAAAAGATCACCTTTCTTTAGGCCAAACCAACATCTACACCAGCCTGAGCTGCCATTTTCTAAATCATCGTGCAAAACAGCTACAGTGCTAAAAATATGCTGTTACTCTAACTTTGAGATACTCTCTCCAGAGACAGGACTTCCTGATAGGAGATTCAAATTAATAGGAAGTGCCCTTCCTGTGTTTTCTAGACTGCTAAGCTAATGAGTTTGTTTTGAACTGCCTTGGAGAAAAAAAAAGGAACAGACTGATTGGTGTTCACTGCTTTAAAGTGAAGCAACCTTCTATACAAAGTGTAGTAGACCACTATCTTATCTATTCTGGCATGATACTGTAGCAAGTTTGATTTCCCCTGTATTTCTGAAGGAATTAGTACAGGAATTGTCTTGAGACCCTGTCAGTTGGTGACTTCTATTTTACTCTGCATGTCACCCTGTTAGAAATTGATGGGAATGTTTAAGAAGGAACTGATCATAGAAATGGAATCCCACTTTTAAGCAAGTTATTTTCATATAATGAAAGTGAACAGCTCTGGCCATGCACATACAACTATGCCAAACCTAACTGGCTCACTTCAGCTATATAAATACACCTTACAAATTCAGTACTCTTTAGCTTGAATGGCATCCACAGAACATATATTCCATAGTATAACCAAAGGAAAAAAAAATTTCCTCATTTATGATTAGGACTTCCAGAGACTAAGGCAAAATGATAAAGAAGAAATTGTGGTCAGTATGCTGTGTACTTTTGCACAAAGCAAAAACACAGAGACAAAAGGCTGAAATACACACAGAAATGCAGGTGGGGTTTTTTTCATACTAATTACACATTTGATTTTGCTTCATGAGGGATGAGAGGAAACTAGACAACTAGCACACAGTCAGACCAGGAAGTTCTACAGTCTCCTACACACTGGGACAAGCTTTTCAATCTTTTTTGAGTGCATAAAAAACCCCACCTACCATTAAAGAACATTAACAATCCAGATTTTGACAGGCAAGATCATTCTGACTTCCCACTGCATAAATCCAAGCCCCTGCAAAACTCTGCTTATTGCAACATTCCATCAGGAACAAAGTGATGACCATCTGCAGTGACTCTGGCAGATGGAAATGGTGAATGCTTCTTTAACCCAGTAATAAACTTTTTCTTTCCTTCTTCTAAATTAGATACCTAAAATACATACAGCAGTTGAATTCTAATAAAAAAACTTCATATATGTAAACACAAAGGATTTTCATCTTAACACAAGTTCATTTCATCCTGTCTTCCCCACTTAACAAAAGCTTATTTCTTTATCATGAATGCTCCTGCTCTTTGACAGTTTCTGATGTTTAAGAATAAAAGCACTTTTAAGTAATCTCTCTGATGAAGTATTATTTTCATTCAGGACTACTAAATTATTATTTTCATCCAGGATTACTAAACTACCATTAAATACTCTTTCACAAGATTGAAGAAGGTTGAGCCCTCCACTTTTGAGGGATCTTAACTCTCCACCTGAGAACATTGCTGATAATGGCTCAAAAATAAAAATTAGAACAAGCTCTGAGGAACTGTTATCAGTCTGAGCCACTCTTGTGTCACCACCTGTGATACCACCCCTGTGACAAGAAGTGGGACATACAGTCATGTAATTCTGTGCCTTACTACGTACTCAAGTAAATGTTAACCATTTCACTCTCTTTCATGGAATGCTTCAATTATTTTTATTTATCTTTCCTTCAAAATGTAAGCAGAAACAAAAATTGGGAATAAGGCTAGTCAGAGATGAACCTTTCAAACATTTCAAATGTATTTTGTCCTTTTAAACTTCAACACCATCAACCTCAAAAGGATCTGACTGTTCCCTTGTCTTGTGTTGAAAATTTTATTTCACAGTTTTCACAGATGTTCACACAAAAACAGGTATCCCCAACAACTTTGCTAATAATTTCAGTTTTGTCCACATGTAATGTTAATGGCAAACCTTAAGCCATAATGATCTGCTACAGATCAGAAGAATGGCTTAACTGTGCTCTGGCCAGAGCATGACCTGGGAAAAAAAGACAACGGGTACCTAGAGTCACAAGTCAAAATAGCAGCTTGCCATTAAACCTCTGCCCTGTGACCCCCCCCGCCCCAAGGCATCTTAAGAGCAGCTCTCTTGATAAAAGCAGCACGTATGTGTTGTTAAAGTAGCCAGAAGGGCAGAGAACTAAAGGTAGGACTGGGAAATGACCTTTTCTTAGGAGCTTTGAGACTAATTGGGAGATACATAATTTTTTTGAGACCTTCCATGTATTTCCTAAAACAAAAATACAAAAAGCTTCAGCTACAGAAATAAATATGCATCTCACCTTGTTATGTTCATGCTTGTAGGGGATTTTGAGGGTATCCATGGCTCTGATCATGGCCTGCATTGCTGTAAATATGTTCTGGTACACCAGTTTTGTAAAGCCTCTTTTGTCTTCATCAGAGTAACCTGATCCATGAATGATTCTCATCTGCTTGATAAATGTGCTTTTGCCACTCTCTCCTGTCCCTGCAAGACAAATAAGAAGGATACGCTTTAGCCACTGGACACAAACATGACCTTTCCTGTACAATGCTGACAGCTGGTTTAGCGCAGGGCTGAGCAGTGCCAAGTGGTGCTTAAAAGTAACTACTAGGACTGGTTCCGAATCAAATACTAGCATCAGTATCAACTGAACTACCACTGAATTAAAACTTGTGCATTTATTTAACAACTAAATGAATGAGGAAAAAAAAACAACAAAAAAAAACCCCACACCACTCCAAAATACACACGACTGTGTATTTTAAAGATCTTTAATTCTTGGAGACAAATGTCCAAAACATCTAACTTCAGGTGGTTATTATGGAACATTTTCTTCTAAAAATTCAGGAAGAATTAAGAAAAAAAACCTTTCAGGACATTACGGTAGGGAGCGTACAACCAATACATACCCTTGCGTTTTGGTGCTGTGGTTTTTGGTGTGCTTTGTTTTTTACAGGTTTTTGTTTTGTTTTTAAAGCAAATATTGTAACAATTACAGTCCTGCAAAATTTAACCTCAGAAACATGCAATATCAGTGCTAATTAAAATTTGGCTCATATTCATTAATGGGAAGTCATTCCTTCCTTCCTTTAAATGTCTTTGCATCTTTGTGCTTTGTACTAAAAGTAGTTAGTTACTGAACATTTCTGACTATTTGTCAATTTAAAATTAAGATCTGCCTGTTGAAAACTTAATGCAAGATACATCAAACAGTTTTTCTTTGCTCCAATTCAGTGATCTCATCCTCCTTGACCAGAAGAGCTTATCTATAAAATTCCTGTATTTGCTTAAGAGGAGGAGCTGAAATTCAGAATGAGCAGCTGCACAGCCACATAAATCCTGTATTCACCCAGCTAGTCAGCCCTGCATGAAACTAAATGCATGTACCAGGGTGCACTGCTCAACACTATGCTTTTCAGCCTTTCAGCCTGCGTTTTATTCAAATAATTTCTGTTAAGCTTTAATGCCTCACACCATGATACTCTTGTCCCAGGACAAAGGCAGCCTTATGCCCCTTGGTTCAGGCATCTTGTCAGAGAAGTCTGTTTCACAGCAGTGCAGTGCAAGGTTAAAGGAGCAACCCTGAAGCATTTCTGAAATAGCACACACTGCAGAAATCTAAGCTGGAAGCCTCTAAAAGCTTTTTCCTTTACCAAGACCATCATTTTGAAGCCTTCAGTTCCAGTTCCCACATGCGCAAAACAAACTTCTAACACAAGTATTACTTACACACACAATCAAGCACTCTGTTACATACTGACCAATTTCACTTTCTCCGGGGGGGGGGGAGGGGAGTGGTTATTACTGTGATGAATAAGAACTTGCTCTGAAGCTGAAATCAGAGACCAAGCCTGGCTCCACCCTCAGCCTTCACAGCTCTTCCTCAGCCTGTACTACAGTTAGGAGCACAAAGGCCACCTCTGCACAGGTTGGCCTACCCACCAGGAAGAATATGCCCCACACAACCTGACAGATTCACACTAACCAGGCACAGGTCTCTGAAGAAAGACGTGCTCTGAGACATGCTGGGTCAATGATATCTGCTTGAATTCCAGCCCATCGGAATCAGAGAGGAGATATTTACAATTCTGCAATCTCCCAGCCTGGAAAAATCACTACTTAACACCGTACAAATTACAAACCTATACAATACAGAACTATTAAACTAAGGCTACCCTTAAGACCACCATAGTTTCTCTTTCTTCTGAAACCTACAACACAAACATGTATGTACTTACATATGAAGTGACCTACCACATATTTTTCAGTAATTCCGTAATGCTGGTCCAGCCTTTCTAAGGAAAAGTCACACATTTAGCACAAAGATCTGTTCAACATGAATCTTTAAAGCCAGAAAGATCTATGAGGTGCCTTTTAGACATGATTACGTTTTTACTGAAGATTCTGCTTTAACTAATCCCAAGAAAATAATTTCCAGACACCTCTGAATCATTAGAATACAAACTGACTTCCAGTTTTGGTCCTAACACTTCTCCCTACAGGAAATCCAGATTTCCTCAAAATCTCCAAATGCAAATTAGCATAAAGATAGGAAGAACACACTTGTATTATCTACTCTGTTCTAAAACCTGAAGCTTCTCATTCTTTCAATTCTTTATTGGGAGCTTAGGTACCCACATGATAATCATGCAGAAGAAAACATGGTGGTAAAGCAATCTGTGTTACATTAGAGAAGACTGTATTTCAGACTGCACCTTGAAAGTGATGTTTACAAAACTACAGTATACAGGAAAAGGAACTTAAATCCAAAGAAGAATCTAAGACTTAAGTGTGTGTCTTATTCAGCTTTGTGGTTCTGTAACTGGCTGTCACTGCTAAGATTTTGTCAGCCAAAGACCAGTAACAAATTGCAGTTGGGGATCTACAGACACAGATGCATGCATACTCTAGTATTTCTGATTTTTTTCAAATACATACATATATGAAAAATACATTGTATATACATATAACTATCCATACATATACAACAATGGTATCTCTCTTTTAGAAGGCCATCTCAGTTTCCTCAAGTCTGTCCCTCCCAGGTCAATGCTTAAAAGTACTTTGTGCCCACTGGCAGACAAATTTTGTTTCAGCCAGGAGCAACGATGAGAACAATTCTAGTCCTCCTTCACTGCATGGAGCAACACATGTGCAGCAGTCTGAAAGCATCCTTTAAAAGAAGGAAATAATGGAGAACTTCCAGCACACAATGTACAAAAAGAAGATAAAATAATATGAATGACAGAATAACAATATTTACAGAAGTGCCTAGAAATTACCAAGAAATGAAGATGTTTCATTTTCAGCACAATATACAACAACTCTGAGAACCTTCACACTGATAGCTCCTCTTAAGATTGTAACAATCAAGGGTAGGAAGTATTTTTATGCTGCTGATGACATAAAAGCAGACAAAGAAATTTCAAGTATGGCTTTAATATAGAAAAAGAAACAACAAAAAGAAACAAAACAACAAAAACAGTGCATCAAATCTTTAAAAACATCCTGTTCACGTGAAAGCTTTAATAGTGATAGCCATTTGAAAGCATGTTACTGGAGACCTGCTCAAACACTCCTCCCCAGACCAAAGAAACAAAGCAGTGCTATTTAGTATCAGAGAAATGGGGGGGGGGGGGGGGGGGGATGATGTGTAACTAATTACCAAGGTTGGTTAAGCAAAGCTGCAATCATTACAGCGCTCCTGGTGGAGACTGGGATTTTAACTCTGTTACAGTACTAAGTCAAACCTAGATTTGGTTATTTTTACATATTTTTTGCCTTTTAAAATCTCATGACTGGCATTATAAGAAGATCAAGACATTATCTGATACAACACCAACTGTGCGTTCTATAGCCTGATCTATTACAGAGCAGGTTAAGAAATACAACTTGGAAATATGTGACTAAAATCTTATTTGTCACATACGAAACAAAACGAATACTGGGTAACAGGACTCTTGCGTGGGCTTCTTCACCTTTGAAATTGGATTTAAAAAATATAGATCTATCTGTCCTGAGAAGATGTGAACGTCCTATGCCTTCTACTATGGCTTTGCTGCTTCTATGACCATCACCCCAGCAGTACCTCCAGCTGATATAAGGAGAAAGGAAACATGAAATGGCAACGGAGGGAATCAGCAGAACAGACCAAGGCGGGAGAAAACTATAATGAGATCAATCTTCTGCTAGCTGGCACTGCACACTTAAATTAGTTGAGACTTAGATCAGTTCTCTGAAGCCTGATGAGTAATTGCTTCCTGTCTGTCAGAAGACAGCTGAAGGCCACACAACATACCTTAATCTTTAATAATAACAATAATACCACCCACTCCTTCCTCATCTTTTAAGAACGGTGACATACAAACCAAACCAACCAACCCACCATGATCCTAATAAAGCTCTTGGGTGGTACTTTGGAGTCAATGCTGTGGCTGGGGGGAGGGGGGGGGGAGGGAGGGGGGAGAAAATAACCCGGGGGGGGGGAGAGAAACTAAACCAACACAACCTAATCCCCCTGCCTCCCCCCTAAAAAAACAAAACAAAACCAGCCAACAAACAAAATGAAACAAACAAAACCAAAGAACTTCCTGATTCAAGGAGACAGTATGGCTTACTCTTTTTTTTCCTTTCCAGATTAAAAAAACCCAACCCAACTGATGAATGAAAAGAATTAACTGCCTTCTAAAAATAACAATCGCTCAGTGGTGAATTTCCATTCAAGCATGGCACAGAGAATTATCAACACTTGTATGTAAGAGCTTTGCATCTTAGAAGCTGTCAAATCTCTGAAGACCTCCCCAAGAGTTTTATCATCAAATGGTGATAGCAACAACTGTTACTGCATCATCAGTAATTTTACAACCACATATCTGAAAGTCCCCCAAGCAGTACTGCCTCCAAAATGAGAACCAGGAAGGAAGTCAATTGCTTATATGCAGCAGTAATCCTTTACAGGTGTGCTACCACACACATATGTACATATCATGCACAGTTTATTGTATTATTACTCCTGGTGCATGTTCTGCAAAAATGTTGAAACACAGTGTGTGGTTTCAGAACTTACATGGTAGCTAACAAGGAAGACATAAGAGACTAATTTAAAAATAATACAAGACTAGAAGCCTATGCTAACAAACTTCTTTCACATGGGTGTGCAATGCATACTTGTTTTCACAATTCTCTGCATTGTAACTTAGATAAAAATGAAGTATAGTGTCTTCAGTGATTAAATACAAGGCTGTTTTTAAACTAAAACAACAAAGATGCCCTTTTATAACTAAAATGTACACTGGCATCTGTTTAGAAAATAAATGCTGCTAAACTATGACTGACTCTCATGCTTATTCCCATGTTTGACCTATGAAAAGGCAAGGGAAAAAAAACGTTGTATTGTATCGTTTGAAATGTCCTACTGAAATTAGATAGAAAAAGGACATTCTTAATATGTAAGGAAAAAAAACCCAACCCACAAAAGCTATGGA